ACTTTGAATCCGCTCTGCTTACAGACGGTTTTGTTTTTAAAGAATACGTTTTTTTTGTAGTTGGTTCCAAGCACTTTTGGATTTTAGTGAAAATGAGACGTCTTAGAGACACACTTTCAGTTTGTCGTACGTGTTGTGTTCACCTGGCGTCGTGGGGCGAAACATTGCTGTAAAAAAAAAAAAAAAGAATATTTTTGAAAACTTTGTTCACAGGAGAAGCTTACACCCGCACAGCTGGGCTCATGGAGGGAGACGCTTCAGTGACGTCAGAGCGGGCTGCTAGTTTCTATGCAACTTTCAATGATATCAGATCTGTTTGCAGAGACTTGAAACATAATCAAATCATCAGGTTTAGTCAAAGTTACACATAATAAGTTTGCAAGCAGAGTCTGTTTAGAAAACGCTCCAAAGTCCTGATTTCAAGAACTCAAATATCTATGCAGAAAAATCAACATTACAATCCAGTGCTTCTGTCGGAGAAAACTGGAAACCTGGGAGCTTTCAAGGGACTCATTCACAGAAAACTTTCCTGTGAGCACGAGATTGATTCCCGAGCTGACAAGAAAGTATTTCAACAAGAACATTTTTCACAATCACTAGAAAGTGTTTCATGTGCAGCAGAGAGTTTCTGACATTCTGTCTCAGAGGATGAGCTCTTTAAACATCTCTGTGCGACGGAGCTGTTTCAAAAAGTTTCACAAGAGCACACAATACTTTCTGGTGAGGACAAGACATGTTCTCGTGTGCAATGGCTAAGACTTAACTATTCAAAGATATGGTCACTGAACTGAGATCGCACAGTAACAACAGATCTCAACAGATCTCAACGTCTGAAGGCGAGGAGAATCTGTTTGATTTGAAGGAAAGGGTTCGGTTCTTCTTCAATGACATCATCGTCCCGGGTCATGAACCTCCTGTTGAACATGAAAATACGAGTTATTTTTTGTCCGAGCTAATGTTGTACAGTGTGGATTAGTGTTTATGACAAGATCAGTATTTCAACTGGATGCAGCCGCTGCAGAAACGACACATTTCCTTTGAGATGAATTTACACTTTTCATGTTGTCTGTTCAGTCCGATAAAAAAAAAACATCCGACTTTGTCTTCACACTCAGTATTTTTGCACAAATCAATGAAAAGCACCAAAATGGATTGGACGCTTCAGTTCTAGTTTCTGACTTGCACTACTGGGAGAAGGTCAGAGGAAGGTCAGCCGAGTCTTTGAGTCGACACGCACAAGTGTACGAGGTGTCACTGTTTTGAATTTGTCTTTTTCTCTTTGTGTGTGTTCATTTCAATAAATGTTTGATGAGTCGTATTTATTGTGAGAGACAAAAGTGCGTAATTTAAAAACTCCAGTTTGAAGGCTTTTCTGTTTCACTAACGTTTATGAATATGGCTTTTTTTTTTCTTGCTATTGTTTTGATAATTGTCATACTTGTCTCATGGAGGAGGTAGCTGCAAGGTAGCGAACACAGTGTACATATGCAGTGTCTTCCAATGTTTCTACGTGTTTTTGCAAATGGGACTTATCTATTAAAAGACTTTTCTTTGTATGGAAACCTAGAGTTTGGTGTTGTTCTTCTACTTTGATTAGATCAGACAGCAGAAGAGAGACGGGAAGTGTTGAGAGGAGAGAGTGGGGGGGATGACATGCAGCAAAGGGTAGAGGTCGGATTTGAACCCAGGGCCGCTGTGACGAGGACTACAGCCTCTGAACATGAGCGTACAACATAATCGCTTCCCTGATCATTTGAGGAAGAGTTTTTATTTTGAAACAGGCTTCATTTTACTGACGTAACAACAAATACAATGAGGGATTCTGTTGCTTTAAGAGGTCATGGTGAGTTTTTATGTGTAAAATAAAAAAGTGGTGTTTTCATTGCTAACCTCCCTGGACCCCCACCATGTGACTGGGCCCCTTTAGCCCCCCTTATGGGCGGCCTTGATAATCAGAGTGAAATAATATCCATCATGGCCTCTCTATAAACCTGTTCTCCTCTCATAAACATTTTCAAGAACTAAAAATATCTCAATTCTTTTGTTAACGTCCTCGTCTCTTTAGTCGCTGCTGAATTTTTCACGTTGACCGAATGTGGTCTCATCCTTCAGATTTATGTCTCTATCAATAATTAACCGTCAGCAGAACAGGATACAGTATCTGTAGCCGCGCCGCCTGTATGATTAATGTGCTGTAAAGTTGGCATGACAGCACCTTCACACGATCCAGGAAACCTTAAACCGACACTCACCGCCGTCTGAGGCATCGTCCAGAGCCAGGGGAACGCTGGCACCGCAGAGAGGGAGGAGGGAGAGGACACGAGGGAGTGGATGAGGAGACGAGGGGATGTAGACTAGGAGCTGTGGTCGCATCCTCATCCTCAGGAGTCCCAGGAGAGGTGGACCTCCATCAAACCGGGAAGTTAATTGCTTTCACTTTGCACATCAGGTTTTAGATATCTTACTTCAATGAAAAGCTGTCCTGTAACCGAAGTGAAGAAGAAGGTTTTAAAAAAGCCACCAAAAATGTTTATAAAAAATAATTTGTACCAAATGCAATAAAATTATTAAATTCATAAAGGAAAAAACGACCCCCTCAACTTTAACTGCACATTGTTTTATGAAATTACTGTTTTTAAACCTATAAATTTATGAAATGTCTTAAAACTCTGGCTTATTATTATGCTAAATTATTATTTTAAATTCACGAACCATGCTGATTGTGATGTTGTCGAGGACTACAGGCGCTCTCCTGGTTTCCTGCTGTGCTTGAATGTTGTCTTGTTCATCATAATGTTTTTTCTGTCTTGTTCTTTTGAAGCCAGACAATTTTCCACTTTGTGGACAAATAAAATTCTATTCTTCTATTCTTCTTCTAAATCCATGTTGAGGGCACATCCCTACTCTTTCTGTTGTCCAGCAGTGGACTCTGATTAGAAGTCCGCACTGAGAGTTTCACAGACAACAGAACAACAAAGGAGAGGTGCAAAGGCACTGCAGCCTGAAACATGCATCAGGCTCTGTAACATGAATGACATCTAAGTGAGTAAACAGGAAGTCATGCATACAAACAGTTCATCATATCTCTCTCACACGTTTCCCCAAAGGAGCGCTCTGCTTTGTCTCACTGCAGGTTCATGACTGATGATGTAACAACAAGAGGAAGAGGACTTTAAATGTTTTATACTCTGACTGCATGCACGCTATCTTCCATCACGCCATCTGTATGACACTTGTTCTGGACGGGGAGGGGACGGAAAGGGTGAGGAGGACAAACAAAGAGAGAGACACAGAGAGAGCAACTCTCCAGCTACCAGACCAACTTCCATACTTTCGCACCAGGACTTGAATTGGTGACCCTCTGGTTCCCAACCCAAGTCCCTACAGACTGAGCTACTGCTGCCCTGAGGAGGGGGACGAGAGAGAGAGGGTGAGGAGGAGAGAGAGAGAGGACATGTGGAGGTGAGAAAAGAGCAGTTAGCTTGAAAACAATGAAAGGAGGAAAGCCAATCAGGAGAGAGGAGTGATCGCTCACGGCAACCATAGTGTAAGCAAAGTGTTTGATGCTTGTTGACAGCTGTATCTGTGAGTTAGAGGGGGAGTGTGTGTGTGTGTGTGTGTGTGTGTGTGCAAACCAAGACCTATAATCCTATACCATGCAAGGTTGCGTGACCGTTCATACTCTTTGCTGCTCCACACACCATTTGGCCTAATTGGTCACACCCACTCTGTCTCTCTCTCTCTCTCTCTCTCTCTCTCACACACACACACACACACACACACACATTAATACACACTCTCCATAGGCAGATGCATCAATGCATACATAGACACAACAATGTTGGCATCTCTTCTCCCCGTACCCCCCTGGTGACAATACTGAGGATCCTTGAGGGGATGTCAGACATGTATGCTCACACACACACGCATGAACATAAACACGCACCCTACTAAGCATATGGAAGACAGTCACGCAATCAACCGCCAGCCACCCCCACAAACACGCAATGCTAATGAACATGCAGGATTGTTCCCTTTATTTCACTTTGTCCATGTCTCTAAAAAAAAGTGCTTTAACCGAGAGTCTCTACAGGCTCAACCTCCACATGCAGCTCGTTATAAAGAAGCCTTAAGAAGAAAACAGACATTTAGGGGTTCCTGTGCTTAACTTTGTCAATGTTTTAATGCATTAATGAAAAAGTGTTGTTTGTTTTTAGTTTGTTATTGATGCATGAAATTTGTGCAGCACCTGAGTCTGAGACAAAGGGGAAAACAAAGTGTGTTGTATGTAGATAAACAGTTACTTTCCAGTTGACTGACCATCTCGTCTTCATTATAAATCTTTTCCATAATTGTTTGATTAATTTGAGCGATCATTGTAATAAATGTGAATATGTATCTCTATCTCTACAGATCGAACACAGATCTAAGAAAGATATTGGATGATTTATCATTATCGAATTTTCTCTCTTCCAAATATCG